AGGATCCGGCCGACGAGTGTCCCAAGGCAAGAGTCTGCGGAGGGGGGAGGTCAGTCAGTTTTTATACACTGTGTTTATGTGGCACGGGTCCTCCAACCTGGTTTTGTTTGAGGGGGTGCGGGGGTAAGGGCCATGATTTCAATAGACTTAGGGCCCAAGTTTCCATTTCAATGTTCATCTGTCAGACGACCAGCAAGGCGTCTATCATCATGACATGTTTGGGGAAAACAGCACATTTTTGCAACAAGAACAAGACTAGAAAACACGCGGGCATGTATAAAACATCCAAACAAGAATAAAACAGGTTTGAACATGGGCAAGTTGTTTGAGAAAACTTGAACCCAAATGAAGCCATGCAACACACTAAAATCAAAAATACAACAAACAGTGACAATCGCATTCTGCTGAAAGCACATTGCGAAGCAATGGCTCCTAAGCGGATTTCTGCAGCGAAGCAGCTGGTGCGTGCTGTTTGCGTTTGCCTCCGACAAGTTTGTTACCAGCAATTTGCGGGCCAAGTCGATGAGGTCGAACAGGCTCGAGCTGAATTCAGATCATTGCCCAGAGAGAAGCAAGAGCTTTTGCCTGTAAGCAGCAAATGTTTTGCTTGAAGGTTATTTTCGATGTGTTTTCCAGCACTTTTGATCAATATAATATAAGTGTTTCTTCTTTGGTAGCAGCTTTCAAGGAGGTTTGGCTAGCGACTGCCTTCAATTGTCCTGTGGACAGACTCCTTGACGTGGGGCGAGAGTTGGCCATTCAAGATGGTAGTGATGGAGAAACATTCTTTTCAACTAGCTCGGAAAAGTTCGAAGCTTCTGACTTGGACAATGACGGCTTGTCAGATTGTCAATCCAACGCCAGCAGCACGCACTATGCCTCAGATTGTGAACCTGCTTCCAAAAGGCCGCGAAGATGTCCCAAACCGCAGGCCAAGCGGCCACGGTCACGGCGGGATCCGCAGCCTGCGCGTTTTCTGGGCAAAGAAGTCTGCAAGCGCGCGTTTGCAAAACTTTTGGGGGTTGGACAGTCAACATTAGCAAAGATTCGGTCCGGGCATCCAGCCCTGACAAACAATGCGCGAGAAGCTCTGCCTCGCCACCCACAATTTGGATTCACACTGCGAGGTGTTGAGAACTTGTGGCAAGGAGTTGTGATGTACCTCTGGTACCTTTACAATTCAGAAGCGGAAGTCATGCCCAACAACTTTTCTTTGCGAAGCGAAAGAGCAGTTGAAAGCCCTTTTCCCAGTGAAAAGGAAGAACAAGCAGATGACATTGAGAGGGTGCTCAACTCAATGAGCCGCATGCTGCAAACAACTTGGACGGACGCAGATGTGCACTTGGTGGGGCCAGGAACCTTTAAAGGTCCCGTCAGATCGCTTCCTCATGCCACAAGGACGGAGTTGTACTACACTTACCTCGCATTCTGTGAGTCCCGCCAAATGCAGCATGCGTCGTACTCAACGTTCTTGCGCGTGGCTAACAAAATCCTCAAGCCTGGAATCCGAAACGGCCACCTCCGCTTCCGGAAGGTCAACGAACACGGCCAGTGTGATACATGTTTTGCCCTGCGTCAGAACATGACTCGGGCCAGAACAACACAGCAGAAGGAGGAAGCTCGACAGGAGCACCACCGACATGTTTTAGCGCAATGGCTGGACAGGCAAATTTATTGGAGCTTTAGATCCCTGGCTCACACCTTCTTTGCCACGCTCTTGATGGAGGGAATTCGGTTCCTTTGAGACAGTCACAAAAAGTATTTTGTTCAGGGTTAACTTTCCCACGAGTGACATACAAAAACCAACAAACCACACGCCAACAACCTGTTTCAGGACAGCTGAAGCATTGGCCGTCGCATCTAGCTGCTTTTGCGTGGCCATCGACGGGATGGACCAGGCAAAGTTTTGCGTACCCCGCTTTCGCCAGAGACAGGCCAAGTCAGCGCAAAAGCTCTTCCGGCCCCGACTTCACGTCGCTGGTTGCTGGGCGCACGGAAGTTCTTTGACCTTCAACATAGCCAACGAAGACTTGAAAAAAAACAGCGCCACCCAATGTGAAATCCTTGCCCGCTGCATCCAGGACACGCTGAACCGCCACGGCTGTTTACCCCACGGCATCAACTTGCAACAAGACAACACGTGCAGAGAAGGCAAAAACCAATACGTGGCTGCAATGGTGACGCTACTTGTCACTTTAGGGTGCTTTCGCTGGGCGACTGCGTCCTACCTACGGGTAGGGCACAGCAACACAGTTTGCAACAGGTGAATGTTGTTTATTGATATGTGGTTCCTTTGCCTTAAAATCTTAAAACACTAGAAAACGAGGTGCCGCGTCGGCAATCTTTACTTAGACTGTCAAAGGTTGGAACTCACGTTGGACAGCCTAGCCTTCCGACCTAATGCCAGAGCGGCCTCCGTGGTTTGCGAACTTGGTCCCCTCAGGTCACGAGGATTTGGACCAAATCTTTTCACAGCAAGCAGCCATGCTAGCTCGCCACGAGTTTGCGACGCCTGATGATGTGGTTGCGCTGATGGATGACACCTTCAAACCCGAGTCAGCAGCCGACGAGATCCGGAAGCAATCACGGCGGGTGAAAGTTGAGTCCTACGCCCGCAAGCTTGACCAGGTTGCGGATTGGAAGAGTTGGGTGGGTGCACTTGGCATTCGCTTGAAAGGGCTTCGAACTTTGACCATATTTCAATTATTGTTGTTGCATCTAACCTTCCTGCGTGTGGATGTTTTGTAATGTTTGGGGCGCTGCTTCTTTTTTGAAAAGGAAATTGTTGAGTTGCCAGGCAAGCCCATTGTAGACAGACCATGTCAACCTCAGGAGGAGTCGGACAGATGAGATTCTGTCTACGGGGCGATGTGGATGCATCTTCATTTGGAAGCTGCCAAGTGGAAGAGATTCGTGGCAGTCCTCCTCACGCGGCTGATGTCATACTCATTGCCAAAAAATACATGGCAACGTGCGACCCATTGCGGGTGATATGCCTTGTGCCGGCTTCAAAGTGTTGCGAGTTGAGGGCTTCGCTCCAGCAGCCTGTGGGACTTGATCCGCGGCGACCGATCTCAGAGAAGGTGAGAAAGAATATTCTTTCGGTTGCTCCATATTGTTGTGAGAAGGGCATGATTACCAGGGATGGTTTGGCTTACTTGCTTGGATGGGTTCAGAATGAGCTCCCACAAGTGCCACGACCTTCGGAATATCCTTTTTTAAACCTCAATCGATACCCCATCGACTTGCCAGAGGCAGTCGCAGGGGATTGGGCTCCGCCTGGCCGGTTTCGTGTGTTCCAGCTGGTGGCCAGCGCTGAGGAATCTGATGACGATGTTCCGGAAGATGCGATCGTCCTCGATGATGATCGTGACTAGAGGTTTTCCTTTGAATCGTTGCCGAGAGTTTCACGTGAAACTTGTTGGGCCACTTTTTTGGAAGGGACCAATGTTGAATCCAACAGGTGTTATGAATCGAATGTAGTTTGTTTTATTTGTTTTTGAATGCTGGTTGTCTGGTCCCTGCCAGTTATCCGTGAAGTTCATGTGTGAGAGCAACACTACGAAGCAGAAGTACCTCCTCAAGGCCCACCCGTCGCCCTACTTGTTTGACAACATGGAGGATTTAGGGTCTGGCCAGGCGTATGATGTCCGGACGCAGTGCACCGTTGACGTGCCCAAGGTCAGGGGCAGTGAAATTGTTGTTTTCCACCGTTTGCCTAATAAACTTGCCTTTCGACCAACCCTTTTGCGCTTTCGGTTTGGAAACCCCGCAAGGTGGACGTGATCCAGATTGGATACCCATGCAAATCGATTTCATCCCAGAACAGCAACCCCGCTTCCTTTCGCGATCGCAGTTCAGTGACGGGTTCTGGCTACCACAGCCTGGTCCAGTACGTGGACTACGCCAGACCTTCCATCATCGTTTTGGAGAATGTCAGAAGCTTGGCAAGTCGACGCCGCCAGTTCAGAGATGAATGTCCTTTGGACATCCAGAACAAGGCTATGTCAGCCAGGGGGGTACAACCATTGGTTTGAGGTTACAAATTCTGCACAGTATGGTCTTGCGCACAATCGCACCAGAGTGTGGGTCATCTACATGAAGTTCTACCTGGACAAGTTTTTTTGGTAAAGTATTCAAATACATTTTTCTTTTGCAAGGCTTTGCAAGTTCTATGATCCCGGAAAGTCAGGTTAAGTTTATTCATGGTGGGATGGGGAACCCTCAAGGTACAAGGACTACGCCCCATTGGACATTGTGCACAAGTTCCTTTGTCGGCCCCTGCCCATCGACATGTTTCTTCTTGATCCTCACCCTCCCAATGCTGCTTGCAAAGCGCGCGGGCAGCAGAAACGCAAGCAGCGAGATGAGTCCACACTGAAGTGGCGCGACACCTTTAAGGAGTACGCTGGGAAACTTGGCATTGTGGCTCAGGCTTCATTCCAGTTTAGGCGCAAAGAAATCTTTTCTGAGTTTATGTATTGGCATCCGTTTGGGGGGCCGTTTCGGGCTTGTTTCAACATCGAAGGTCCCAGATTCAGAAGTTCTTAAGGGTGACCCATTTCTAGATGGTTCTTGACGGGCATCATGACATGCAATATTTGATGGAATGTTCCAAAACCCTTTCCTGCAATTCATTGGAACCCGAGGCGGATGTGGAGAACAACAAGGAGAAGATTCGTCGCATGAACCTTGAGATCACCGAGCGTGAACTTGCAATCTTGTCAGTTGCCGTGACAGAGATGCAGCGCGCGGGATGGACGCCGTTCGTGGCGACGTTCTTTATCCAAGTGGCGCTTGGGATTGGGCAGTGAAGTTTTGTTAACTTTGCGTTCTCACACAGCAGAGGCTCAAGATATCCCTGCAAAAACAAAACACTTTGACCTACTCACTTGATAACTTTCCACTTGGGTTGGGGCTCCGTTTCGGGGGCGAAGGTATCTGTTTTGGGGGCTCCGTTTTTGGTGCGCTACATACATGGCAATCTAATTAGTCGTGAATCCTTCGCCCCCGAAACGGAGCCCCAAACCAAGTGGAAAATTGCCATACTCACTACTGTTCTTTTGAGTCTCCATTTTTTGGTGATGATGTTTGACGGTGTGTGGTCTTGGGCTGAGGACCAGAATTTTGCTCGCGCAACATGGAACAAGTCGTCGCCCGCTTTGCTGCCATGCCTTCTCCCGAGTGGGAAGTATGTGGTGACTGGGATGGAGACATGGCGCATTCTTAGCTCCAAGGACTGGGGTTGGAAGATTTGCTCAAATAGCCAGACAGTGCTTCATTTCTCAGATTGCGTACCATGGTAAAAACATTTGTCATGTTCAAGAAACTGAGCCACTGTTTCAAGCCTTACTTTTCTTTCAGCTTGTTGCCGGATTTGGCCTTTTTGCACGCCTCATCAGTTTTGGGTTACGGAGGAGAAGATGCTGCTTCAAGGAGTGGGACTTGCAGAGCACTCCAAGTATGGCATGGACTCCTTGACGGAAGCGCAGTTGAGTAACATGGCCGGCAATGCGTGCCTTGCTTTTTACTCAACATCATTGTTGCCGGGTTTCGTTTCCAACCTGGGTTGTTTACATTTGCAGTATTCTACTAAATAGCTTTTTCGACCCGGGGATGTGGGAGGTGTGAAAATAGGCCTGACTAGTAGATAGAACAAGGTTCAGCGCTCCAGTGTGCTCGGCGTTTCTGGTGGCTGCACTGGCCAGCTACCTTGGTGCCTACAAGAGTTTCTGAGTGAGTATGCCAAAGTGGCTTTTCCTTCAGCCACTCAGGATTTTGCAGGTCCGCTTGCCTTCTTTGTTTGCACGCCTAGGTTCTAACGTTAATGTATACTCATTGGAACATGAATATGTTGTTTGAAACACGAAAGCCGGAGCAAGGAGGTCGCGGACAGGGTTGTCTCAGATTTGATATGTAGCCAGGGGATCGGCTTCTACAGGGTTGTCTCAGAGTCAAAAATGGACAACGCCTCCAGTCTGAGTCTGTTCATTCAGTTTCTCTAGGGAATGAGGGATTCTTTATTATAGGGGCTCAGAGGGTCTCAGCCTGCTTCAAGCCCCTTCAAGCCTTTTCCAATCATGGCGCCTCGCCGGAAGAAAGCACGATTGGGCGCAGCAGGAGCTGCGGAGATTTCATCAGGTTCGGGCGTCACCGCTGTTGCGACTTCAATGGGGGAGGTGCCAAAACTCCAGCAGGATTGCATGAGCATTCTGGAATCGATGTATGAGTTGAGGCACGACAACGAGTCCACAGTCCACACCCAGGCAAGGGGTTTGCTCACCCCAACTGATGGGCTATTCCCGTTTCCTGTCACCTTCGGCGGTACCTTCCAGAGCATTGCTGAAAGAGCTTTCAAGCAGCCGGAGATTCTGATGGAGCTGGTCGCCAAGCTTGCTCATGATGCAGGGCTCTTGGATGCACCTGACAAGGACGACTTCATCTCAGAATTTTGCCGGATCAACGTACCTGGTCCTTGATGATTTGGGGCACATGGTTTCTTGTTTGTCCTTTTTGATTGGTGGCGGGCGTCAGTCTCCACCCAGCCAGGTATGGCCTCCAGTGAAGGGGGAAACTTTTGAGACTTCAGTGCTGTGTTGGTCCTTCAGCGGCTCTGCCTTTTGGCGCGGGAAGGAAGGCATTTCCATGGCAGAAGTTATGGGGATTGCCCGAGTCATTGCAGCAAGCAGATTCAGAGAGGCTGGGGCAAAACCCAATCTGTTGTTGGTCACTGCATATGTCCTTTATAAAGGTATCAGATTTAGGAGCCACAAGTTTGAACAGAAAGCGTGGGAGGTAGGAGGGGGGGAGGTCTTATGGCGAGGAATTGCGTGTTGGCGCATGGCGAGGAATTGGCCAAATGGTGAGTTTGGCGAGGGATTCACTTTGGGCGTTTGGCGAGGACCTCTAGGAGGTCCTCTCCATAAATCTCACCAAACATTTTTTCCTCGCCATAATCCTGTTGTACGGCTGATTGTTTGGAGAGGACCTCGCTGAGGTCCTCGCCAAAAAACATATGCAATGTTGAGCTGAATTCCTCGCCAACAAATGTGTGGATATCAATGTTTGGATTTCATTCATCTTGAAATCCAAACATCAAACCCTAAA